ATGAAGTAACGGTTCAGTGTATATGCATTATAAATATTCTTAACTTGAAGTTATGTAATTCAAACTAATTTCTACAAAAGTATATCAGTATTTACACAATTAACCTCCATTGTTCTGTGTCTACCATTACACCATCTCTTCAAGTGCCCATTAAATCTTTCCCATCCCTTCATGAACACTTCCCTCAATCTGCCTGGTAAATTGTGTTATCCTAATGATTTCCATGCTTCCCTAGGAGGTAATGTATATTTAGAAATTTTTTATATTATACAATAAATAGATATTACAAAATATTATTTTTTAAAAAGTATATCAATATTAAGAACAGCTCAAGTCTGTATTTCCTTCTTTAAAACAAACAACACTGATTACTAATAAAACCTATTGTAGTGATGTATTCATACACAATAATACGGTGTTGTTGTTGTTGTTGTTGTGTGCCATCGAGTCTCTTGTGACTCAGAACAACACTATGTATGAGAGCCCTAAACCCTGCTCTATCTTGTGACAACCTCACTGTTTCCATCACACCTACTCCCATTACCCCAATCACTGAATTGATCCATCTCATTGAGGATCTTCCTCTCTTGCACTGTCCCTCCACCCTCCCAAACATGATGCCCCTCTCCAAGGACCAGTCCCTCCTTCCAACATGCCCAAAGTATGCCAGATGAAGCTTCAAAATCCTTGACTCCAAAGAGCATTCTGGTTTCACCCTCTCTGGGACAAACCTGTTTGTTCTCCTAACAATCAATTCAACACTCTTCTCCAGCACCACAGCTCAAAGTCATAAATTCTCTATCATCCCTATTCATTGTCCATCTATCCGATGCATAGTACGTAATTGCAAAGACTATAGCCTGGATCAGGTGCATCAAAACCAGTTTTTGTAAATATGATAAACTATTATTGTAAGTGAGATTATAAAATGTGAGCATTACTAGTAAAATCAAATGACATGATACAATATTTGAAGTCATTTTGAGATGGTCCTTAAGATCTATCATTATCAGTGTCTTGGAGACGGGACCTGAAACAAATAAATCATCGCTATGATTTTATTTTTTTATCTGTAAACAAATGCTTACCTACTACTCTCTGGTGCTGTGTGCACCAGATGTTATAAAAACACTGCACAGGAAATATCCAAGTACATACAGAGCTGGGGGGTCAGCTATAGAGGTGGTCTGTTCACTCCTATGGGAACTGAACCAGTTAGAAGGCATCAGTCATGAGCCATCCAGGAACACAGACACCACTCTCAGTAAGTGGAACAGAGAATATAATGCAAACAACAGATTATGCTGAGACAGACTTGAAAAGGCTGAGATCTTAGGGGAAGCTCCCAGAGGTTAGCAGAAACAGGGATCCACCAGCACTCTCCAGGCCAGATCTAGGCAGTTAGGAGTTGTTCCTCTTCCACCAAAGGAGTTCTGGTGGACAGTGGTGAAAGCAGTTGACAATTAACTATAATGAGCCTATCAGCTGCACTCTAGCAGAAAGATGAGTAAAGATTAACAGCCTTGGAAGCCTTATGGAGGCAGTTCTACTGTCCTTTTGCATGGCTACAAGGCAGAATCAACTTGATGGCAGGTGTGTGTGTGTGTAAAAAAATATTTATTTTATACTATTTTGCTTACAAAGTTCGTATACACTGTTTTTTTTACACTGGATATTTCCCATTTCCTTTACCCGCCCCTCCCTTTACACATCAAATTGTGTAACCCTATGATTACTCCCCTGCCCATCCTCATCCCGCTGTTCCTTGGATCCTCATACCTGTTTTAATAGTTATTTTTCTATTTCTACAATAATGGTCTGATATAGTGTTTATCCTTATGGAACTGAGTTAGTTCACTTAGCTTTATGTTCTAATTTCTGAAATCATTGCTGCATAGTACATTCAATACATAATGCATACCGCAGGCTGGGTAATATATTCTATCATGTGAAGATACCATAATATCTCAATCCTTTCGACTGTGGTTGGACATTTTGGCTGTTTCCATGTTCTTACAATGATGAATAATGCTGCTATGGACATTGGTGTACAAATCCCCATTTGTGTGTATCTCTTTCTAATTTTCTCAGGGTATATTTCAATCAGTGGAATAACTGGGTATATGGAATTTCTATGTTCAGCTTTTTGAGGAAACACCAAACTCCCTTCCAGAGTGGTTAAACCATTTTATAATCCTACCAACAGTGTCTAAGAGTTCTTATCCTTCTATATCCTCTCCAACATTTATTGCTTGCTGTTTCATTAAACTTTGCCAATGCTACTAGGGTGAAATGGTATGTCATTGTGGTTTTAATTTGCATCTCTCTTATTTGGTAGCAGGTTTTTGTCTGTTTGCTTTACCCTTGTTTTTTTCTCTCTTTTATTCCTCTCTTTTACCCCTATACGGAGCCTCTTGTAAGTCACATAGTCCAGAGGTGTAAGATGGAGAAGAGGTATCAAGCCCATATCTACCCACAATACAGGCTGGAAATAATTTGTTCCTGGGCTGAGCCTTTAAGACTTCAAATTTGTCTGAGGAACAGTTAGTGCTACTTGCTCTAACACAGATACATTGTTATGCTGGAGATGAAGATCTGAGAATCATTAGTACAGATGAGGTATCTGAAACCAAGGGGCCCTAGGGAAGAAATGTAACAAAAGTTAGAAACTGAAAATAAAGCCAAGAACAGCATCTTTAGAAATTAAGTGGTAACAAGTACTGAGAAAGAAAAGCAGAAAAGAAAAAAAGAATTAGGTTGCAAAAAGGGGAGCAAACATTTTCTAAACAATGTTAGTTTTAACATTAGATCCTTTTGAAAAAGTAAACACTTTAGGAGAGTGGCCCATTTGGGTGGGGTTGCTGATGAATTCCATTATAAAGCAAAGGTTAGATGCCAGGAGATGCATGAGAAAATCTAGAGAACCAGAAAATATTTCTTTTTCAAGAATTTGTATTCTGGAAAAGAAATGTTTCCTTGGAAAAAAGAGATTATAATTCAACTTTAAAAGACAGGGGTAATAATAACAAAATCATCATCATCATCATCATCATCATCATCATCCTGATGGTAACTGGTGGATAAATTAATGCTTTAATCTTTGTATTTCTATTTCCCAAATATGGGGTGCAGGGATGTTGGGGAGATGTCATCATATACCTATCATATATACATATAAATTCTTGTTGTTAGGTGCTATCAAGTCTCCTATGACTCCTAGTCTCCCTATGAACAACAGATCTGAAACTTGCCCTATCCCGAACCATCCTCACAATCTCTGACATAGTTATCATGTTGTTAAAAGTCGTTGAGTCTCTGTATCTTGTTGAGAGTCTTCCTCTCTTCCTCTGACCCTCCACCTTTTCCAGCATGACATTCTTTTCCAAGGAGTGGTATATATATATAGAAGCATATTTAAACTTATATTATTTACATTTACCTCATATCTCCAAAGTCCCCCAATGTCACTGCTTCCTTCAAAACAGGTCGGCTCAAGTCCCTCCTCCAGGCAGCACTTAATGGCGCTTAATCCACTGACACCCGCACCAATGATTGCAATTCTTTTTGTTGGCATTGTTTCTTTTATCAGTAAACATAAATGACAAAATTAGATTTTAATGGAATAGAACTATTATTACTATTACAAAATTTGAATACATTGTTTTCCAGAACAAATTCTTCCAATTTCCCTCACTCCCCCATCAAATTGTACACCCCATGCTTAATCCCCCTGGGAAATAACTTTTTTTAGTGAAAGGTTCCCCCCCCCTTCTTCCTCTAATATTGCTAGCATTGAGAGAATATTATCAAAGTTATTATGCCATTCGGTGTTTCTCTGGGACAGAATATTCTACCTCACAAAACGCTGTCTCAAACACAAAGCACTCTCTACTCTGCTCAAAGTGTTTGAGTAGGTTCCAATTCAAAGGGACCTTTCACCAAGTTTCTGACCCTGTAAATATGTTTTAATTTTTTATTGCTTTGCATACAGTAGTATGTTTACTGTGTTTCATTCATGTACATTGGGTTATTTTTTTTTCAAAATCACCTCCCTCTCACCCACCAAACTTTGAGACCCCATGATTTCCCCCTTCCCTACCCTAAGTCCCCTTGTCCTCTCTCCAATGATTTGGTTCAAAATTGACTATACATAACAACATCTACCTTCTGGTTAAAACATTTAAGTTTGGGCGGCCAGAGAGCTGGAATTTGAACCACACATAGGACAGCTGAGTTCTAGCCAAAAGACACCAGCCAAGCCTCTGTGGAACACACCCACCAGGAGCAAGCAGGGAGAAACCGCCTGCCACTGTGTGACTCCAGAGGAGCAATGGCTCACTACTGCATGATCACCCTGTGGCCCACCAATGCGTGACCCCACCATGCAAGGTGCCGCTGCATTAACCCCCAGCAG